CAGAGTCTTTTATTTTTAAAATTTTACTAACACACTTAAATAGGTATTACATATATACTTAAAATAGATTTTATAAAAGATTGTCTTGTAATCTTCCCCTTTCTAAAAACATACAGTCAGGTATACAACCTATATGTTTTTAATCATGAAGTTATTAGTCATGTCCTTGCTTCTTGTTCTGTATTAGTTTTAGTTCAAATTGGCCCTAGTATAGATTAAAGCAGGGGTTTGCAAATTCCAGCCTGTGAACCAAGTTCTACCCACTACTGTGTTCAGCTTGTAAAAATATTTTTTATAATTTTAATATCACTGAAAAGAATCATATATAGTTAAGTTCTTAGAAAATTTAGATTTAAGTTCTTACTGAAACACATTTATGTGTTGTCTCTGACTGCTTTCATTCTGTAATGGCAGAGTTCCATGGTTGTCTAATACTGTATGTGACATTCTCATCACATCAGACTGCTAGAGGACAGATCACATCTCATTTCAGACTATTCTGCCATAAATCACAGTGATGCAGTTATAGCTTGACAGCATTTTAAGTGCTGTGTGTATTGTTTTATTGTGACAATTTTATTTTTATTATCAGTGCATACTCATTATGTAAAAACAAGAAAAATAGACTTTGAAGAAAGGTAGACTTACACTTTAGAACACCATGGAACATGGATTATTTTGTTATCAAAATGCAAGGCATTTAAGCTGTGCTAAAAGAATACAATATATATTGATGTTACAGTATTAAGTACTCATCAATATATTGATGTTACTGTATTAAGTACTCTGTGATATTCCCAATTCACAGAAAAGCAATGGTCATAAAGTTATAAAACTTAAACCAGCTGTGAGCCAGACACTGTAGTATGTGCCTGGAATCCCAGCTGTCAGAGGCTGAGGCAGGATGATCCTTGCAAGTTTGAGATCAACCTGTGCTACAAAATGAGGCAGGAAGATCCTTGCAAGTTTGAGACCAACCCGTGCTACTACTATGTCCTGAGACCCTGTCTCAGAGAGACAAAAAGCAAAACAAAACAAAGAAAAACAAATAGACAAACAAAACATCACAACCAGGTGTGGATGCTTGTAATTCCAGAACTAAGGAACCTGAGGCAGGAGGATCACCAAGAATTTGAGTCCAGCCTGGGGCTACATAGTGAGGTCAAGATCAGTTTGAACGATGTAATGAGACCCAGACCCAAGGAGGGGAAGGGGGAAGAAAAGAAAAGAAAAATTAAAATGGAATGTCTCATCATTGCAGAATTTCTTCATAAAAATAAAAAACAAAAATGAGGTTTCAGCCAAAGTAGCAGTCTAAGTAGTTTGTGACACAAAGGCATTTACCAATGGTGAGTTAATTAAATTGTGTTGAGTTACAGCAGCAGAAGAAATGTGCTGTGAGAAAAGCCTTTCAGCAAAAACAATTGCTTGGAGAATTAAGAAAATTTAAAGCAGCATAGTCAATTTAAAATGAGGCAAAAAATTTCAGGATTATCTTTAGTCTCGACTATGTGTCTTGCTCACTTGTAATTTTTTGAGGAGTCACTTCTGATCTTGCAGTGTCTGTAGAATTATTGACTGTAAAACTTGTATGTGGAATAAGTTTTAGGTGAGATTATTTTCCAAGAAATTCAGAAGATACTAATTTAGTTAACCTGAAGTGGAATCTGGATGTGTTAGAAATACTGATTATGTGCGATAGGATAACCAAGACTTCAAGGCCATCTGAGCTATATAGTGAGTTCAGGAACAACCTGAGCTACACAGGGAGACCCTGTCTCAAAAACATTAAACAGACCGACAAACACTGTTTTAAAAATATGCATGAAGGGAAAAAAAGGCCTAACTGTATACATTTACAAATCTCATGAAAGTATAATGTATTTAAGTTCTGTGTTTATTCACTATGTTACTCAACCATGGGTACTTTGCAAACTATGTTATCGTCTTGTTGGATCAGAAGTTCATTTACTATCATAGACATTACATTTTCAGGTAAATTTTTTTTTTATCAGAAATAGAAGTTAAATGTCTTGACTTGTTTTACCACACAGAAGTTTGTAAATAAGAAGAACCACTTTCAAATACTATGTTTGAATATTGACTGGCTTGGGAAATTAGCTTTTGGTGCATATTCACATTGGATACTGGATCTTAGTGAATGTAGCCTAAGATTGCAAGGCACAGTTACGTGTACCTGCAGAACAGTGTGCTAAAGTCATTTACGAAACAAATGCCATTGCAAGACAAAACTAATTTAAAAAATATTATGAAAAGTTAAAACAAGAACTGGACACATTTTCAAAGCTCCTGAAAGTAATGTATTTAAGTTCGGTGTTATTTATTGTATTACTCAATAGCACATACGTGGAATTTTCATTCCCATGTATTTTTGTATCATCAGATGCATTATCTGAGCTCAAATTACAACTCGAGTGATATTTTTCCTATCTTAATTTGAGTGTAAAGGAATTGTCATTATTTCTAAAATTATTTAGAATAATTTCTAATTATATGTATAATTGAGTGTCTTCTAATCTTTGATTGGAAGTGATTAAACTTGAACTAAAATGACATGCTAAAATGCACATGTCAAAAAATATAGTAGACTTCTATAATATTTTCTAGAATCAAACAGACTTATAAATGCCTTCTAAATGATGACTATGTTCATTAAAGTCATAGGTTCATATAAAATCTTATTATAGAGCAACATTAAGAGATAAACTGTTTTTATTCTTGAGACAGTATTTTGTCTGCCTTGAACTTACTGTGTAGCCCAGACTGGTCTCTAACTCCCTGTGATCCTCCTGCCTCAGCCTCCTGAGTGGTGGGGTTACAGAAGTGTGCCATCACAAACACCTCTAAATAAATATTTGCAATCAATTATAATGATAGAGAATAGTAGCTTTGAACCTCAGTTATGTGAAAAGTTATTTGTTCTCCAATTCCAATTAATGAGATCTATATTATAAAAAGTTGAACTAAATATTATATTTTAATGTTTTCAATAAAATGTTTGTGGAAGCTTTTTTTAACAGACTTAATTTTACTTTTTGTCTCATAGAGCCTAAAATATACGATATGAATATTTGAGAGAAAGTGCTGCTATGTGGATTAAAGGGTAGATGTTTGCCTTAGTCTTTAATTTAAAAAATTCTCTTTAATGGTATCATTTTTTTAAAGTAGTAAATATATTGAGGCATGAAAAAGTACCTAATATTTTAGAAACAAAATTATATGGTAAAATCATCTTTTTATAAGTGGGTGTTCTTTGAATTTTTATATGCATAATATACTTTGACTTAAATATTCAGTGTTTTGCTAGTTAGAGTTTCAGTGAAGAAGCAGTAATATTACTTACATATTTAATTAAAATATAGGAACAAAATTTTAAATCTTCTGATAAAATGTTTAATTCAGGTCAATTCTTTTTATACAGTGTAATATTTCTATTTGTACTAGTTAAATGTTTCTAGAGAAAAACTGGAAACCTAAATAAATTTGTAAAGTGGAAGTTGATATTCTTAATTAATAGCCTTAGAAATAATTCTTTGTGTTCTATCAAGTCCTCCTGAATAAGCAGGTAAATCTTAGGAAAGTTATTATTATTCCTTTCCAAGTCCCTCCTCCAGTGTAATAATGAAGACTTTTTCAGTACTCAGTACCTGGAATGTTGACTAACATTATTAAATGTTTTCTATCCTTTTTTTTTTTTTTGGTACCGGGGATCGAACCCACGACTTGGTGTTTGCCAAGCAGGCACTTTTGCCGCTGAGCTAAACCCCTGGCCCCTCTATCCTTTTTTTTTTTTTTTTTTTTAAATGAACAAAGAATAACATTTTTAATACCAATGTATAAAGAGAAATTTGGTGTTAATTTTAGAAATTAATGAGAATGGAGTGTTCAGGGAGAAATATTAGGACTATTTAATATATGTGAATACATTCAGCTTTAAATTTGAAATATGTTTTATGCTATGTGTCTTAGTTATTTAATCTTTTTTGCTGAGACAAAAAATCCAACACTCAAAGTTAATATAGGAAAGGTTTGTTTTGGCTCACAGTTTATAGAGGTTTCAATTCGTAATTGCTTGGCTTCAAGGCAGAATGGCATGGCAGAGGGGCTTCTCAGAGGAAAAGCAATTCATAGCAGACAGATGGCAGGTAGACAGCAAGCAGCAAAGTCGCAATAGCAGCAACTGACAAGTGACACACAGCAATCCTCTTTTCCTTATAATCTATTTAGGTTCCCCAGCCTTTGGGCAGGTAGCACTGACACCCATGGTGAGGTAGCCTTATTCCTAGCAACACCGTGAATCAGTCACAACATGATATTCTTGATCCCAACATCATACCCCGTAGATCACCCACCTCTGAAACCTCAAAACATGAGGTTTTGAGAGAACGTCTAGATACAAACTGCAGCGCTACATAAAGTCCATTTCTAAGTGGCTTGTCATATATAACATAGTCAAAAATAAATGTATATAAATAAATAACAACATAGTGCACTCTCCTGTAATTATACTACCCTGGGAGGCTGAGGCAGGAGAATTAGAAATTTGAATCCTCCCTGGACAGTTTAGCAACTTAGTGAGATCTGTCTCAAAAAAAACTGGGGTGCAGCACATTGCAAAGGCCCTAGGTTCAATTCCCCCATGCTGAGAAGGGAAGAAAAGATGGAAACACATAAATATAAATAAATAATACTTACATATATATATATATATATATATATATATATATGTATAAAAGATTGAGATAATTTTGTCAAGTAAAAATTTTTTTGGGGGGTACCAGAGATTGAACTCATGACCTGACACTTGCCAGGCAGGCCCTTATGCCACTGAGCTAAATCCTCAGCACTGTCACTAAGAGTTTTTAGAGAAATCCTGAAATGAGAAAGTTTTCCTAATATATATCATTAGACATGATTCTTTTTCCTTAAATAAGTATCTTAATATCTGATTTAACTTTAATTTTAATCTTGTTTTGCAGATGAAGCATTGGATGACTTAAAATCCCAGAAGAAAAAAATAGTAAGTTAACTTTTACTTAATTTATATAAACTAAGTTAAGAACTGGATAATGTTTTTATACTATAACTTAATGACTTTCCAAGTAGCAAAAATACGCTTTTAGATCATATTTTAATGATGAAGTTAAATTATGAATATTTTTACTAGTTAATGATTATTGACAAGAAAAATAGTTTAGATGGACTTTTGAAAGTGTAAGAATCTGTGTCAGCCGGAATTAAATAAATTATTTTGGAGAATTAAATAAGGCAAAGAGTAAAACAATGGGTGCCTAGATTGTTTATTAGATTGTTCATTAGATATTATGGACAAAATATCTGCATATGTCAGTTCTTAGTATCTTGGTTACTTTTCTCTCATTGCTGAGACAATATACCTGATGCCTAAAATGAAGCAAGGAGAGCTTTATTTAGCTTACAGTTTTTGGAGGTTTCAGTCTATACTTTGCTGGTTCCAACACAGGGTGGCACAGGGTGGTTAAGGAGCAGCTGTTCATGTTGCAAATGACAAGAGCAAAAAGGGACAAAGGGAAAAGCATTGTATGCTGGCTACCTGCCCCTGGGTAGATGCAACTCTTTAACACTGCCAATCCCAGCACTAGACAACAAACGAATCACAAATGCTAGATTCAGCTGCCTCCCTGGCTACATGAGATTTTGAGGGGGACACCCAAATACATAACATCAAGAAGACTGGTTATAAGAGATAAATTCAACATTAAAAGCTGAAACAGGTGGGAAAGAGCAAATTTTTTTCCTCACCATCTTCCACTTTCTATCAGTTACACTGATGACATGGGTGTCTATATCAGACCAATTAGATACATCCTTTTGTACGTGCTGGAAAGAGGTTCAAGAATCAGAGGAAGGTATTTAATAGTGAATTGGTTTTGGTGCTTGACTTGATGATCTTATATTTTTAAAATATGACTGTTTTTAAAGTTTGAAAATAGTTTGCTGATAGTATTATCATGTTATTAAATCAAGTTTAATTGGTTCAAATGATCAGTGCATTTTTGTCTAGTGTGTAATAAGTTGTGTTTGTCTGCTTTTCATCATTTTGACAAAATACCTAGATAAGGAGGAAAGGTTTACATGGCTCGTAGTTTGACTGTGGTTGCTTAACCCTGTTGCTTTGGGCCTGCGGTGACACTGCTGTGCATCATGGGAACTTGTGGTTGCGGAGGTCTCTTTAACTCATGGCAGCTGAGAGGCAAAGAGAAAGAGGAAGAGACCGGGCTTCTAGCATTCTTTTCAAGGGTATATTTCTAGCAACCTAATTTCTTTTTCCTTGGCTCTGCCACCTGAAGGTATCTACTATCTGCAGAAGTTGGTAATTAAAGTTTAACAATTCAGATCCAAAGTATAGAACAAATAGTATTTATGTATGGAACCAGTGAAAATGGTGAATTAAGATTAATGTTTAAAGTTGTTCTGTGAGCTTCAGTACTTTAAGTGCCTGAAAAGTAAAGGAATTTTTTAATAATGAAGGATTCCTTATATATGTCTGTTTATTTGATACTTTTTCAGTGTTTTGTGAGGTATTTGTCAAAATTGCCTTGATAATTTTGATGTTTCTATATTAAAACAAAGAAGTATTTCATTATATCTTATTTATTTTTGCCATTGTGTACATTGTGGAACAACCAGAAATTTAAGCATAGAAATATGATTATTTCAGTGATGTAGGAGTTGTAGGTTGGTTGGCTTGCTGATGAGACAAAAAGAGATGCTGAGAGTAATGAGTTCCAAACCCTGCCAGTACCAAACTGAAAAGTAATGATTAAAATGTTCCCTTCTTAACTATGGTTTTGCTTTCCATAGTTTGTTGTATAATCAGCTGTGGTACAGAAATAATGAAATGAACCAGATGTGGTGATACATGCCTGTAGTCCCAGCTACTTGAAAGACTGAGGCAGAAGGACTGCTTGAGCCCATGAATTTGAGACCAGCCTGGGCAACGTACTGAGGTCCCTGTCTCAAAAACAAAGCCAAAAAATTTAATCAAAAATTCCAGAAATAAGCAATATATAAATTTTAAGTTCATTTTTATTATAGTATATTGTTGTGATCTTTAAATTTTATATTAGTTAATATTGTTTATTTGTTATTGTACCTAATTTGTAGAATAAACTATTACAGGTAATGAATTTGGTACTTTTTTTTAACATTTCAGGTATTCACTGGGGGTTTTGGGATATATCTCATGGATAAAAGGGGACTACTGGATAGGTTTGTTATATAATTTGAAATTTATAAAAGTATGATTTGTAGTGATGAATATGAATTACAAGGGGACTACCCTAGAAAAAAAAAGGACAAAACAAAACAACTCCATGAAGAACAAATAAAATCTTAAGGATGAGAAGCAGCATAATGTCAGTAATATCACATGACCAGAAAACAGATTCTTCAAGAATGTGTGATTGAAAAATATCTTGTAGGGGCTGGGGATTTAGCTCAGCGGCATAAGTGCCTGGCTTGCGAGCAGATAGTCGTGAGTTCGATCCCCGGTACCGATAAAAACGAAAAAGATAACAAACAAACAAACAAAAAAGCGAAAAATATCTTGTAGAGTAACAGTGCAGGCTTGAAAATTTCTGTGGAAGCCTAATTCTACAGTATATACTACTTCAGTTGCCCTTATGACATGAAAAATACTACATTTGATGACAGTTGGGAAATTCAGTTCAGTGGTCCATAACTGTGTATATCAGTATTACAGAATAGGTCATTTCTCTTGTGGCATGACTAAAGAAAATAAGTTGACTTTAACTTACTTGATTAATTAGAGAAAGTAATTTTTATTTGCTCGATTGTTATTGTGGATATAATACTGTGACTGTTGGAAGCTAGTCCTTGATTTTTATTGTTTAATCCCTTAACAGAACTGCTTTGTTGGAGTAGATTTACCCTTTGGAACAATGAGTGTTAAAGGTGAATTAGTAGGCAGGACAGTGCTGATGAGTGAGAGGCAAAAGAGGGATGTTATTTTTCAGCAACAGATAAACATAATCAAAATGACGTTGTTCACTGGTATTTAGGTTTAAATAATGGTTATCAATCCAGTTATGTATGTCTCATCCCTTCTCTTTGGTTAACAACATTAATACAAGTTCTATTTACTACTTGGTATTTTACTGAAGGCGATTTCCTTAGGGATTCATCTCTTTAAGCTGGATAGGTTCATAATGTAATTTGAAGTTTATAAAGGTGTAATTTGTAGTGATGAATATGAATTAGCAGTTGGTTAAAAAGTTACTTAGCAAACAAAATGAATAGCATCATGGTTTACATTATAAGAGCTAATGTAAGTATTTATTTACATTAGGAATTAATCTTTAGTCACCTAGAAATTCCCAAGTTTAGACCTGTGTATTTTGCCACTAAGTATTTTGTGGTTCTTTAAGTCCTTTTTGTTTTTAATTGTAATCATTGTATAATTGGTAGAATAATAAGATAATCCTTCTGCATTGATGTTTATTATTTTAAACATTTCTTATCCATCAATTCAACATCAAGACTTACCAAAATGCAGGACTCAAAATTATCTCTTTAAATGGCTTCTTAAAAATGTGGTGCTTTTTTCCAGAATAGTGTTTCTATTTGGTAATTCCTGACATTCTCAGGAAATTATGGTCTTCCAAATCCTAAGAAAAACCAGTTGAGAAGTTGGGAACATGGGAAAAAAATGTTACAATTCTCTGAGAATTAAATTAAAATTCTTTAATCAAATACAGATGTTAATAGATCAAAGGAATCTCTGTTACTTGAAAACAAGAGCAAGAAATACTGATGGGCTGAGCTACAGGTTAATGTCAACATTTCTGGGTACAGGCCATGAAGACTAGAAGTGGCACAGTCTGATTAGTGTGGCTCTTCTGGCCATGTTGTAAGCATGCCGTTATTGCTGTCTCTTATTAATGGCAAGTCATTCTTGCAAATAAAGTTTGTGTATAGTATAATTTAAATAAATCTTATGAATGATATCCCATGAAATAAGTTTTGGAAGCAAAAATAGGTCGATAAATTAATTGGTAATATCAGCATCTGTTTCTGTGTAGGGTTGTTAACTTTACTGGAAGTTTCAAATTACAGTTGTATGTTCAAATAATTGCTGATGTTTTCCAGTGTTTAAATATTCACGAGAGGCTAACCATTAACAGAAGAAATGTAGAAAAACAGAGTGTGAAATACCATTAGAAATCAGAAAGTGATATAAAATCTGAATTAATAAATTCATTAATTTGAACAGTAAATGAAAACTAGAGTAAGCAGACAGGGTTTTCATCAATATGGTAGGAGTTTATGTGATAGAATGTTTTGTTATACTCTGATTTGAGAATGTTTTTGGACTCACAGTAATGTGACTGAAAAATGGAAGAAGGTTTTCTATATCTGGCATATTTTTATGAAGTAAAGGTCACGTGTACCGGGGTTGAGTAATTTATGCTTTCTCTGTGGTAAAATTTTCATTTTTTTATTAGTGCATGTTCATAGTACCTCATTACAGTTATTGTGGGATTTTTGTTACATGTATATAATACATTTTAATTCCTAATTCTTTTTAGAATGGTAATGTCAGTATTAGATATTGATAGAATTAATGTTTCACAGTTTAAAAGATTACTTGGACATTTCTTATCCACCCACCATACCACTGCCTACCAGTGCCCTGTGCTGGAGATGTAGTCCAGGGCCTTTGCACTGAGCTATATCTTCAGCCCTTTAATTTTTTTTTTTTTTTAAAGTTTTGAGAGGTCTCACTAAATTGCTGAGTTGCCCAGGGTGGGTTCAAACCTCATGATCCTCCCTCATCAGTCTCCCAAAGTGCTGGGATTACAGGTGTGTAAAATTAGTGTTTTATTCTTTTAATATTTTCTATAATGAAATGACTATATCAGATAGAAATTACTTTTACGTGTTGTTGATTGTAACCTTGCCATAGCAGCACTTATTCATAATAAACAGGTGTTTTTGTTCTTTTAATTATTACTTAGAGACTATAATTTTCCTGTTTTTGGCTTCAGTTGCCTTGAACTCCTGGGCTCAAGGGGATTCTCCTGCTTCAGCTTTCTGAATAGCTGGAACTATAGGCATACTTCACCACACCTGATTATTTTATGTTTTTTAAATAAAAAAAACCCCATGAAACTTTTAGTAAAACCTTATCACAGAAAGATTCATTCTTTATAATTGCAGTGGTTATGTTTAAAATACATTATGAAAAATACAGGATATTAATGATTTAAGGAAGTCTCACAAATTCCAATTTTTAATTCTGAATTCTTGGATTAATAGGGTATTTAGAAACACTATTTCAACTCTGTTTGAATAATTGAAGTATCACTGAAAATTTTGTGTCAGTGTTTTATTCATGGTTGTGGACTCTTCCTCCTATATTCGTTAAGTTCTAGAATAGTACTATGAAGAAAGTGTTACTATATTTTTCTTAGGAGAGGAGACACTGAGGCTAACGACAGACTTAGTATTTCTAAGAATACAAGTAAGCTTTGAACCCACATTGCTGGAGATTGAACTTCACTAACTATATCCCCAATCCATGGACCCAGATCTCTACTGATTCTATAATTTCAAGCTCATGTTCTTTCCAGTGACTCTCTATTTAAAACAAACTATTCATTTAAAACATTATGTGGATAAATGTCTGAAGTAAGCTATTATGAGAATCTTTTTGTTAAGACATAACAGCAAAACAAAATGACATGGATTAGTATATTTTAATACTTTAAAAATGACTTTTATGTAAGATAAATAAATAAAACATAGGAACACACACAGGAATACTCACTGAATAATGTACCAGGAGTCCCAGTCATTTATTGAAGTAGCATTTTGGTTTTGAGTTTTATATATTATTTTAAAGGTTACAATTGTATTTACTCTTTTTAAACAAGTAGTTTTCATCTAGACTTCTGCTGTTGAAATCAGTAACCAGTAGCACTAGGTGACTATTTAAATTTACATTACTTAAAATGAAACAAAACTCAGTTTCTCAGTCATAAACAATATTTTAAGTATTTACTTATCATCTGTGTGTTAATGATTTCCATGATGGCAATATAGACCATCTTCATAATTATATAAAGTTCTGTTGCACAATACTGGTTTAAAACACCAAAAATCTAAGTTATAGCAATCAGAGATGCAGTTCTGTGGTATTCCATGTAGATTATGGTGATTTAGAGATATATCCTATTATACCCTTTCTCTACCTTGATTCCTAGTTTTTTCCAAACTCTGAAATTGCAAACATTTCTTTTTTACTAGACAATTCAACTTGTCTTGAGAATTTATCATAATTCTGAAATAATTAGGAAAATACTTTCGTTGCACTAAACTGAGGTTAATAAATCATTCATTTAAGCCCTTAGCTGCTTAAATGTTGAATTGAGTGTTTAATGAGGAATCTATTAACTACTATCGTGGCAACATATTTTTAGCTGTGTTTTAACTCAGAAATGTGCTCTGTATTACATTTTAAAATAAATGTCTTTTGGAATGAATATGACTTTTAATGAATCTAGTGGTCACTGAGAAGGAAAAGGTCCGCATTTTATCACATATATTAGGTATTTGTCATAACTATGACTGTCTTGTACTAAACTTCATTTTTTTCTGATGTTGGGCTGTTACTGCTAAAAGTCATACTTTATTGGTGATTATTTTAAAAATTAAACCCATGTATGAAGCTATAAAGTGGCTTGAGTACATGGTAAATAAAATGCTATTATAATGAAGCATTTTAATTATAGGCTCTAGTGTAAACTCAGAACTCAGTAAAATTTCTACTTAAATTCTGTGTTCAGTCTTCCTCTGAAGTTGCTTAAATCTAAGTTAAAAAAAAGGGTAGGCTGGGGAGGGCTTTAGCATTTAAAATCATTTGAGCAAATTCCATGTCTGTTTTCCCAGTTAGTGAGTTTTCACTGTATTTGCGGCAAGCTAATTGCTTCTGCTAATAAATAATCTAAAATCGATGCTGACAGCACTTAATTGGCACAGAGATTTTATTTTGTAAAGCTCTTGGCTAACGACCTTCTTTAAATTAATAGCATTAAGTGCTGTGAGGAAATAAATCTGAGGAATTGCCTGTCATTTGCTTGTCATGTCTAATAACTTCCAATAATGATGGCTGATAGATTTTTGCACATTCCATTATTGAAGTTGGTGCATGTAATTATTCTCCTCATTATATGTAAACAATTAGCAATATTTGGTATTTCCTTGCAGTAAAGCTGTTAAATACAAGTAACATATTAGAGGTTAGAAATGATTTTAAAATCTAGATTTTAATTATTTAATTGAAGGAAGTCTTTCATTCTGTCTTCATATATTTTGTGCTGCATTAAAAACAATACGAAGGAAGGCTTTTGCTTTCTTTAAGACTGATACTTGAATACTTTTTGAATCGGATTTAGAAAAGTAGATTTAGAAAAGTAATGTGTATATGTTTTAAAATATGACAGTTTGTGGAAATTTTGTTTCTAGCTTGAAGAAGTCATGGAAAAAGAAACTTACAAGACAGCTAAATTAATTCTTGAAAGATTTGATCCAGATTCGAAGAAAGCAAAGGTAAGACTGTAATGTTACTACCATTTTATTATGAACTACTTATTATGTTAGGCTGCTGTAGTAATGTTACTGTAATCAACAGGAGTTGGAGCCACCATCTGCTGGAGCAGCTGTAACTCCAAGACCTGGACAAGGTAAATAACTTTGTAGAAACTACTGCTGCTGCTGTTGGGAAGACCCATATTTACCCAAGTGAGTTCCCAAGTGTGTTGCTGGTGTGTAAAAACATATTTAGAATGCTTTTGTGTTAACTTATACTTTGTTATTTGATATATCATTTAGGGCAGATGGCAATGATTTTTATTTTAATTTTATGGGAATATGTTAATAAGTTCATTAATTGAATGTATAATTAAAATGTGAGGTTAGTTTTAATTTTTTGAAATGTATGTAATTTTACCAGTATTTTGTAAGATTCCTTTCGTCTCCAATATTAATAATAATAATCTCTTTAATATCTTATGAAAATTAATACATTTTATGATTATTTTACTTCATCAGTCTTGGAGATCAAACCCAGGGCCTTAACCACACTAACAAATGCTACCGCTAACTTGTGCTCCAGCTCTATGATTTATTCTTAAGGAATATGATAAAGTTCTGTCAAATACGAAGTTTCTGCCGGGGATTTGGCTCCGCAGCGTAAAGCACCTGCCTGGCAAGTGCGAGATCATGAGTATGATCCTCGATGCAAAAAAAAAAAAATTTCTTCTCAATAATTTTATTTAGGAAAAGAATACAACAATTTAGAGATGAGAAGAAAATAAAATTACTACTTGAAAAATACTTTTTTATTGGAGGGGTTGCATAAAACATACCCAAAATCAAATACAGATTTTTTTTCCACCCTATCTCAGTCTCCCTCCAAAATATGAAGCCCTTGCCTATAATCTCTTTAAATAACAACTCTATCTTTCCAGTTACACCAGCCAAAATCCTTCAGGTCATCAGTACCTTCTCTTGACTCTGTATCTAACCCAAGAGTAAGTTTTAGGTGTTCTATCTTCAAAACATATGCAGATTATGCTTAAATCACTTTAAACTAATGGCAGTGGGGAATTGGCAGAGATTATATTCAAATTTTTAAATAAATTTTTTAAAGAAAACTTTTCCAGTGTTACTAATCAAGATCCAAGCTACCTCCAGTGTTTGCCTATATGACTGCAATAGCTTCCTACTGGCCTCACTAATTCAAGAGTACTCTAGACATTCTCCATCATCCTGAGTCTGGACACTTACTGATTCTTCTGGAATGTCCTTCCCTGGAGACCTCCCCCCATGGCTCATACTTCTACTTTTTCCTGCTGATCAAATGTTACCTTGCCAGTGAGATCTTCACTGATAACTCCACTTAAAACTTCAGTCTGGTTGGCAATGCAGCTCAGTGGGAAAGTACTTAAATCTGCCCTCATTCTAGGCCTCCTTTATTTTCTTCAATCTAAAACTAATTTATTGTCTATCTCCCCCCCAACAGAGGGAGAGAAAGTTTTGTCTATTTTGTTCCTCAGGGCTTCTAAAGGACAGCAAAGATTTATGAAACATTTATTGGGATTGAAACATTGAAAACAAATTTAATTTCTCACCATCACTAGTATCTAGATTTCTTTATCCCACAGAAGCTATTCAGAAATTATATACTATGGCAAGTTCCATTTTTCATTTAAATTCAAATTTTATTACTTTTTAATCTAATGAGCAATATCCTTTAATCTATGATTGCTTTAGAAATAAAATACTAAACATTTAAGTAGAAATAAGTCTATTTAATGTGTGAATATACAGATACCTGTTTATTTAATCCTTCCTATATAGTAGCAACCCTGAAATAAATTCTCAATTTAAATTTTCTTCTTTGTTCTTTTCTCTAGAAACCAGTAATGGAATTTGTAAGGCTTTTGTTGGTATGTAGATCTTAGTACTTTTTAAGGTGTAACTTCCATTCTTGCAGCTCATGAGAATTATACACTGGTTTGAAAAGTTATGATGACATTTAGAACACTGAGAAGTAAATTTTTTTTAATGAATATTCAAAAGGCCATGGGTATTAAATAAGACATAGTTTTAGATTTTTTTGGTTGGCAAGCTATGTGGAATGAATTCCATCCACCCCAATCATCCTTAAGTAGGATTTTGGTTTATAGATGTATTAGCCTGTTCTTGTCTTTTTATAAAAATTGGTTGATAAAAGCTCATGTTATTATAAATTGTATTTATACTTGCAGTGAATTTTCTACTTTTCATAATTACTCAGTTTTTCTACAGTTTATACTTACTTTACTATAGACATTTTTTGGCCTATAGACCAAGTTTCTGTAATTTTTAAATAAGTTTTATATGTTGGGTACTTTTTCAAAAATAGTTTTCAGTTGAATCATAGATGCACAGAGTAAATGGTTGTGAAATAGGAGTTGTGGGGGCTGGGGATTTAGCTCAGCGGCATAAGCGCCTGCCTTGCGAGCAGGCAGTCGTGAGTTCGATCCCTGGTACCAATAAAAAGGAAAAAGACTAAAAAAAAAAAAAAAGGAGTTGTGGAAATGGGAACACCCTGGTCAGAGAGTACAAAGTTTCAGTAGTGTAGATAAATTGTAACTTCTAGAAATCTGATATATAGTGTGGTGACTGTATTTTGCAATACTATATTATACATGAAGTTAGAGAGAATAATAGATCATAAATGTTCTCACTGATATGGAAAAAAGGTAACCGTGAGATAATAGATGTATTAATTAGCTTGACTATAGTAATCACTTCAAAATATAAAAAAATACTTGGAGCAAAGGAAAATAATCTTGATAAATGTTTTTAAAATGTGATATTTTGCAGAAAGCTATTTATGTTGCTTAAAAATTTTGTGTTAAAAAGCAAACTTTTGTGATACCCTTAATGTTTGTAAGATCTTCTGTATTTAGACTACACTGAGTTGTTTCAAGAATTTAAACTTAGTTTTCTTAGAAGCTTTTGAAGCCCAAGTAAAGTTTTTCCTTCTGATGTCATATTGTAACCATTGCTGGTCTCTCTGCTTTTGTATATTCTTTTAGAGAGAATCAAATTTAGTTATAATATAAATGAAATAATATAAATGAATCATTTATGTAAAAAGGTTTTGAATAACCTATGTGCAGACACCAGGGGAATAAAAAGATGAATTTGTTTTGGTCCCACTAAGCTTAAAACCTATTGTTTTTTAAAATTATTTTTTCTGATATATATTATTCTAGTATTTCTCAGTCTTCTTGATATATGATTTTTTTTTAACTTTAAAAAACTCAAAATGACACCCAAACTTTATTCTGCTTTTAAAAAGTTATACTTTGTCTTTATTTAATTTAATCTTCTTAAATACCTTATAGTTTTAAAAATCATATTTATAGATGACTTAGTCCCTGAGTTTATGTTTAAGTTGTCAGCTTCTGTCAATTTAAATCTAAGTCTTTTACATCTTTGCTGAACCACTGTTCTCATGCTTGCTCTCTGTGTCTCTGTCTCTCTAATTTTGTATTTTGACTTTAGCCTCTTTTTGAACTTAACAGAAAGTGGGGAAAAAAGTACTAAATGATGTACATATATACAACCTTGGCCCTTAAAAATATCTGTTCTTCAAAATGAATCTAACTATTGTATCTTTATTTTACTTGCTTGAGTCAGAACTGAATGATGTATAGTAGAGATCTTTCTTTTATTTTGCATTACTGAGTTGTTAATGATACATCCTAGGCATACATAGATTATAAATTTAGAGGATAATATTCTTTGATTTGCTTAGGTTTTACACTAAAAAAGAATTTCTTAGTTATCAAAATCCTTTTTATCCATAACTCCCCCTTATGATAAATTTTATCTTTTAGAATAGTTTTAGATTTACAAATTACAGAGATAGTACAGAACTCTCATTTAATTTTATAACGAAGTTTCCACTATTAACATGTTACATCAATATAGCACATTTGTAGCAGTATAACACGTTATTGTTATCATGGTTTATTCAAATTTCCTAATTTGAATTTTACCTAATATTATTTTGCGGTTCCAGGTTTCCATCTGGATACCACATTATAGTCAGTTGTCCTGTCTTCAACAACTTATGGTGTTTATTATTTCTTAGACTTTGTTTTTGATGACTTTGAAAGTTTTGACCTGACCTTTTTAAATTGAGAATTTATTTCAGGGTTGCTACTATATAGGAAGGATTAAATAAACAGGTATCTGTATATTCACACATTAAATAGACTTATTTCTACTTAAATGTTTAGTATTTTATTTCTAAAGCAATCATAGATTAAAGGATATTGCTCATTAGATTAAAAAGTAATAAAATTTGAATTTAAATGAAAAATGGAACTTGCCATAGTATATAATTTCTGAATAGCTTCTGTGGGATAAAGAAATCTAGATACTAGTGATGGTGAGAAATTAAATTTGTTTTCAATGTTTCAATCCCAATAAATGTTTCATAAATCTTTGCTGTCCTTTAGAAGCCCTGAGGAACAAAATAGACAAAACTTTCTCTCCCTCTGTTGGGGGGGAGATAGACAATAAATTAGTTTTAGATTGAAGAAAATAAAGGAGGCCTAGAATGAGGGCAGATTTAAGTACTTTCCCACTGAGCTGCATTGCCAACCAGACTGAAGTTTTAAGTGGAGTTATCAGTGAAGATCTCACTGGCAAGGTAACATTTGATCAGCAGGAAAAAGTAGAAGTATGAGCCATGGGGGGAGGTCTCCAGGGAAGGACATTCCAGAAGAATCAGTAAGTGTCCAGACTCAGGATGATGGAGAATGTCTAGAGTACTCTTGAATTAGTGAGGCCAGTAGGAAGCTATTGCAGTCATATAGGCAAACACTGGAGGTAGCTTGGATCTTGATTAGTAACACTGGAAAAGTTTTCTTTAAAAAATTTATTTAAAAATTTGAATATAATCTCTGCCAATTCCCCACTGCCATTAGTTTAAAGTGATTTAAGCATAATCTGCATATGTTTTGAAGATAGAACACCTAAAACTTACTCTTGGGTTAGATACAGAGTCAAGAGAAGGTACTGATGACCTGAAGGATTTTGGCTGGTGTAACTGGAAAGATAGAGTTGTTATTTAAAGAGATTATAGGCAAGGGCTTCATATTTTGGAGGGAGACTGAGA